ATTTTTTTAGGCATAAATTCAAATTTTTAGCCCTAAAGCTTGAATTTTGGCTGAGATACGAAATACCGACTGAAAAGCCCCAAAATGCCTTTTTTATCAATTTTTCATTTTTTTGGGTGGCCGGCAACTATCAGTATTTTTAGAATATCTCTTCACCAGAATGTGATAGAGACCTGAAATTTTTACCAGAGATAGATCTCAACATGGGGAACATAACCAGCCTATTTAATAAGAGATACATTGTGAAAAAGTATTATCCTCATTTATAACCCTAGTCTCAATATAGGCTCAAAAGGGGTCTAACTTGTGAATTCGATTTCTCCTGATCAGTTCAATCGATTTTGCTCAAACGTTTTTTGCAAAAACTACTATCCTAGTACTACACGTCCATGCGATCAGAAATTTGGGATCTTGAAATTTGCTCTAAAATGGTGAACCTCAAAATATTGATATTTTTCTGGTATCATAGAGCAAATGGGGCCCGTGTGGTTTTGAGAAAATTCAGAAAGCAAAGATCGTTTGGCCTGAAACTTTCAGCAATTATAGAGGTCAATAATAGTAATAAGTTCTACAATTTTCAGCCTGATCGGTAAACATTTTCCTTTTATTCGATAATTCGCTCTTTAGTTATTATGAATGATCTCAAAGTTCACTATATGAAAAAGAATGATTTTACAAATTTTTGAGCAATTCTTATGCAATTTATTATCAATCAATATATTATTCGATAGGAAATTTTACACTGATCTAAATCCTATAAATAACTTTCCTTTAAAATCGTAAATAAGTCATTGAAAGTTTAAATATATCCTATACTAGGCATTGTACATGAAAATCATTACATGATGATCACATTATAATATGATGAATCGAAAGATTTAATGTAATTATAACTGAACGTTATAATATTACAGAAAGGAAGTTGTGTTTAGATAAAAAATCAAATTTTCACATTTAAAAATAGAGTATTTAATAAGAAATCATGGTATCTTCCAAGACAATAGTCAAATATTTTTGTTAAATTTTTTATGAGTTTTTTCATTCTTTCATATAACTTGTTTTCATAGTATTCTATTATTGATGACTGATGAATACCTAAACTTTTTGAACATTTCAAGCTTCAACTGAAGAATATATA